AGATGTGAATAAGAGACAGGTCCTGTATAGACCTATAATATGAAGTTTATATACATCTATAATATTTATTTAAATATGTTTATTTACGGTATATTTATATTATATATCTAAATCTAAATATAAATCTAAATATAAATTTGCATAATAGATATACAAATTTATAAGCGTACTATATTCATTTTATACATATAGGCCTATATATATACATATATATATATATATATATGTATATATATATATATATGTGTGTTTGTGTGTGTAGGCCTATATTACTAAAGCTGGCGTGCATAACGAATATATACTCACCGAGTGCGAATTAATTGTTCTTCATATTGTCTATATTCATCGAATTATAATGTTATAATTCCGACTATATTCGACACAGCGATATACTGATTCGTTCAATAAAACTGTAAGCATGTAGGCTTAATTATGACTCGTTGTCTACCTTATTTATACAAACAGCAGAATGCTACTATATACTGAAAACTTGCAATAGGACTCTGTGTGGATAATTCTGAAATGAAATCAATCTTATATTTATAATAAAAATTCAAGACTTACCAAAATAATGTCTGATGTCAACGCAATGTTGTTTCATATCCCGAATTGAAATTATAAGATTTCCTGGTCGACGAGAAGTGAAGATTTTTTTGACTTGATGAAGAGTCGAATAAAAAGTAGACGAATAAAACAGACAAGGGTACCAATCTGTACGCAAGTCGGGCATCAACTAGTTTGTTCGTGGGTCCTCAATTGCCTAAAAAATACGTCTTCTGATGTAAGTCGCCAGTCGGCGGGCAAGCTTTAACTCTTCTTGTTAAGCTTCGATTACTAGGCCTAATTATCGAAATACGGTAATTACTACAGTATACTTTGTGGCGCGAGTCTCTTAGGCAGGGATTCTTTAGCGGCGTTTGAATGCGGCGCTGACTATTGTCACCAACTTGTCACCATTTACAATCACTTCAAAATGACTTTCGATCTGTCTTTAATATTATACATCAATCGTAGTCTGGCATATTTGTAATGAATCGGAAAAGGGATCGGATTGATCGAAATGAAGGTTTTCTAGACAATTTTCTTTAAGCGTTTTAAGCATTCCATGTTTTGTTGACATAGGTTTTCAGTTAATCTTTTAAAATGAGATATATTGGGGGATAAATGGTGATTACGGTATAAATATATGGTGTATAATAGTTTATTAGCTTACCCCTGATGTAGAATTCCTAATCAATATTAGGCCTACTATTATTGGTTTTTTTTTTATTAATTATTATTATTATTATTATTATTATTATTATTATTATTATTATTATTATTATTATTATTAGTAGTAGTAGTAGTAGTAGTAGTAGTAGTAGTAGTAGTAGTAGTAGTAGTAGTAGTAATAGTAGTAGTAGTAGTAGTAGTAGTAGTAGTAGTAGTAGTAGTTGTAGTAGTAGTAGTATAATATTGTTAATATTATAATCATTATCATTATTATTATTAGTAGTAGTAGTAGTATCGTCATCTTCATCATATCGTCACTTTATAATAATTTTAATATTGTATTGATTATTATCATCATTTTTATCATTATCAATTTATTATCATCGTTTTTTTCTTTGCTATATAATAATAATTATGATTATTATTAATTATTACTATCAATAATATTCTTATTATTATCAATAATAACATCATAATCATCACTTTATCATTATCATTACTATTGTTAATATCATTATCATCGTCATCATTGTTATCTTGTTAAAATGCTTTGAGAAGGTTTTTTTTTTCCTGTGGAAGGTGCTATATAAATATATGACCATTGACCATCTCCGCTAAAATGATTATGTCCAACTAGATGTTTATAAAAAGAAAAGAAAAAAAACCAATCTATTAGTTGATTATGATTATAAGTCAAATAATATATATATATATATATATATATATATATATACATATAATACTTTTATGATATATTGCATAACAATCTATTAGTTGATAATAATTTAAAGTCAAATAATATATATATATATATATATATTTATATTATATATATGATATATTGCATATATATCATCTTCATTACGTTATTAACAATAATGCAACAATCAATCAAACATGGAATACGCCCTCTTTCGAATAATAATTAAAAATCGCTTGTCTAACGTCTCGGTTTCCTGGTGATCATGTCTGCTTTACACGCACAGGATCCCCGGTTCGAGCCCAGGCGTGCCCTTGTTTTTTTTAATTTGCTTTACTAATTTTTTACAGGAGTCACCACTTTTATAGTAACTTCTACTTTTGTAATATGACATTCACAGTTAAAACCCTTAATGAAATTGAAAACAGTATTGTGAAATATGTGAGGAATTGGTTAGGATTTAATAATTCATCGAACCGTGACATAATCTCTATCTTGTATTTCTAGTATCTTTGGTTATAACCTTTGATGTCCCGAGATATGCGTCCTTTTGTTGAATTACATTGCTTTAAGCCTAATCTCAATGATTAAAGTTTAAATAAATTTGCATACATATGACCGGTATAGAAGAAGCTTTGAATTATTATTAGGCCTATTTGAATTGAAACTTGTTAAAATACAGGAATAGGAATTCTTTTGAAGAGAAGACGCTACAACCATGCCGGTATTAAAAATTACATAAATTTGTATTTTAAGTATAGAACTCAATCTGATTCTGTATAGTAGTAGGTTTACGAACTTTTCCTACTAGCAGGCCCTAGCATCAGTGGCGTATGGGTCTTGAAATGGAAAGGAGCTGATGGGGGTGGGAAGGTGGGGGATCGGTGATTATGTGAGGGTCCTAACTCGCAAAATAAGGTGATTTGAGGTAATATTTTAACTACATGATTTGTGGGCGGGGGCGCGGCTAGGGATGGATGAGTATTTTTTTCAGGGATGCAGGCGTGCTCACATCCTAGGTATGACAATACCTAGCATACCCTGCAATTTACCCTACGGTCCGCTACTGCCTGTTATAGGCTGTTTGCAACAAACAAAGAAATAACAAGGTTTCGTGGTGTAGTGGTTATCACGTCTGCTTTACACGCAGAAGGTCCCCGGTTCGAGCCCGGGCGTAACCTTGTTTTTTTTTTTTTTATTTGCTTTACTAGTTTTTACAGGAGACACTACTTTTGTAGTATTTTTTATTTTTATTTTGGCGGCTCTAAGTTGATTTCTGTATGTACAGTCTATTTTGCATATAAGGCCAATACCTTTCGTTTTTAACCAAACTTTTTATGGGGCTCATAATGTCTTCCTGGTACTTGCATTTTGCGTACGTTTTGTGTTTTGAGTTTATTAATTGGGGACCAGGCATCATTTTCATACTGAGTTTTTTTAGGGTCTCATGGAATTCTTTATTCTGAATGAATAAATACATACACGGTAACTTGTATTTGTCGCCGTTGAGGACGGGCTATATACTATACTGATAGTCAGCTTTAGCATGGACCTATTATAAGGCTCTGATTGAGGTACCGTAAGTGAAAACCATTAGAGGCTTGCATGCATTCCAGCGTAGTGTCGCTAATTGTTAAACTGAGTAATTAGCATAAGAATGTTGCATAATTGTACACTTGGAAACCAACTTAACTGCAATTTTAATATTTTGCTGTTTTTTTAATTCTCTTGGCCTTCATTTTGCCTCCATTTTTGCAATTTTTCCCCAATTTTTTAATGTAATTTTATAGGCACCTATATAATTTTTTTTATATAAGTGCAATTTGTTTTTTTCCGGTTTTTTTTTTTTTTTTCTCTCTCTGGACTCCAATGGAATTAAGTAGTTTACTTTTTTGGGATATCCATTTAACCCGAGTTTTACTGTTGCACACTTTGTACTTGTTTATGTTTATTATTGTTTCCTTGTATATATTTGACTATGGTTAATAAATAAACTCAATCAATAATTTGCTCATGTCTTTAACAACAGCAAATCGATTCCAGTAAATGACCCATCATTTTAAAGAGATAGAGAGATAGTCAACTACGGTTATCGACGATTAAGAATTGCTGTTGGATTTTTCTGAAAATTAAATATTTAAATAATACATAATTTGTATATTACTTTCTTGTTTTATATATTGTCTGTTAATTTAATTTATGGTTTATTTTCCTCTCTTATGTTATTGTTAAGCGCCTCGAATATTTCGTAAATAATGTTTTGTAAGTGGTTATCACGTCTGCTTCGCGCGCAAATGGTCCATAGTTGTTCGAGCCTAGGCGAAACCTTTCATTTTTTTTTTATAATTAAGTGACAATTTCAAATAATTTATGATGGCCAATGATTATTTTCTCATTATACAGACTATTTCCTAAATTTACCAAAGCTTGGTTGTGTAATGATTATCATTTCTGCTTCACGCTTAGAGAAGGTCTTTGGTTTGAACCCAGGCGAAACTTTTTGATATGTTCTGTCGCCAATGGAATTATCTTTTTAGAAATTTATACCTACAATGATTTTTTGTTCTCATGGTAAAGACTATTTAGTAAATTAACTATGGTTTTGTGGTGTAGTGATTGTCACGGCTGATCTACACGCAGAAGTTCTCCAGTTCGTGCTCCTGTTTTGTTTTTTTTTAATTAAGTTAAAGCGCACCAAGGTTTCGTGGTGTAGTGGTTATCACACCTGCTTTACACGCAGAAGGTCCCCGGTTCGACCCAGGGCGAGACCTTCGGATTTTTCTTTCTATAATTAAGTTGCATTTTTAAAGGCCATCTAAAATGACATATTGTTGTTACTGTAAAAATGTAATAAAACAATAAAGAATAATAAACAAATGTGTGCCTTTCCTTTTATTTTTAGAAAACGCGCTTTTCTGAAAAACGAGTTTTAAAGCACATATTTTTATGGATTCTGTATTCCTAAGGCCCGCCTTCTGAATTTGACCCACATTTGACTTTTACCGGATATGACATACACTCGGTACAACATCTAGATGTTCGCGGCATTGGCTACACAAACATACAGTAATCGATAGTATTCAGCACGAAACAAAGTTCTATAGAATGTTTTCCCGATTAATTTAAAGTGTCAGTATGCCTCGTTTTGTGGCTGCTGGTTGTGATAGCAACCATTTACACAACGTTAGTTTCCACCAGTTTCCAAAAGATGAAATTTTAAGGAAGAAGTGGAATGAAGCAGTCTCGAGAACCAGGCTTCACTTCCAAGGATCTGCTCATTCTGTGTAGTGTAGCTCCAAGTTTCGTGGTGTAATTATTTTCATTCGCTAATGAAGCCTTTTTTAGAAATTTATACTAATACTAATCTTTTCTTTTCTTTCTTTTTTTTTTTTTTTTGCTCATGATAAAGAATATTTATCATGAGCCTATCAATTAACCATGGTTTTGTGGTCTTATGGTGGTCACGTCTGATCCACATGCAGAGTTCGAGCTCCCGATAATTAAATTACGTTTTTGCCACTGTTTATTTTTTTCTTACGACGCAGACTATTTGGTAAAGCTCACCAAGGTTTCGTGGAGTAGTGGTTAGCACATCTGCTTTACACGTAGAAGGTCTCCAGTTCGACCCCGGGCGAAACCTTCGATTTTTTTCCTATAATTAAGTTGAATTTTTAATAATCTAAACTTGTATGTGATTTTTTTTTATCGTGATAGGCGAATAAGCTGTTTGCAACAAGAAAAAAAAACAATGAGGTTTTGTGGTGTAGTGGTTATCACGTCTGCTTTAAAAAGTAAATTACATTTTTTAACCCTCCAATGATTTTCAATTCTCATGATGATACAGACTATTTCCTAATGTTACCATGGTTTCGTGATGTAGCGGTTATTATCTTCAGGCGCAAAAGGTCCCCGATTTCATCATGGGTGGAAATCTAATTCGCTAATGAAGTTACATTTTATCAGTGATATGTTATAGGATTAAGAGTTAGGCCTATTTCATACATAAACAGAAGGTTTGTGATGTAAAAAAATTACTTTGCTTTTGTTCCGTTCACCGACAGAGGATACACATTACTATTTTTGTAATTCTTACCGACCGAGCCTGAGATTTCGGGACGCCATAATCCGGTCTGAAATTAATTTTGTATCTTATATTTCGACTTAGGAATAAAAATTCAAAGAATAAAACCTTAAGCCTACTCTGTATGACGTCAGAATCTTCTATATAGGCCTAAACCTTAATTTTTTCGAGTGGATTGCTATAGTTCATTTGAATAGCAAAGTTTTTCAATGTTTGGCCTACTTTGTTATCTAGGATAAGTCACAGTCGGTCGCATCGTACTCTCAGCTGCTTAGAATTTCCGCATTGCTGGTTTTCAATATCGGCCAATCACGTATAGTGAGTTAATGTGAGTCAGAGCATGCAATACAACGCTTAAATTTGCTATTTTGACAACCGTGTGCTGGCGTCACATTAGCCAATTTAACACTGGAATGGAAGCGGTGCTTCCAAGAGTATGTGCGCATGCTCTTCCCACAAATCGGGACCTCCACTGCCGATCGGGTATTCTATCTTTAAGCAAGGTAATTCAACAAAAGGACGCACATCTCCGCTCTCGAACATAGCGCGTGCGTACAGTCCTTTGATCTTTACTGTGGCATCGACAATCCGATACTAGTTGCGAGTACAGCCGTCAATTATTAGTCTATGCGTGCCATTCGTTTTATGGTGTTAGTATTTATTTTATTAATTTTGGGTACTTCGCAATGTCTGTTACATTTGATTTTTTTTTACCGCGAGCTTGTTAAATGCTTCTATAAACTGCAAATTGATTTGTGGAAATTTACCAAGAAAATAAAAAGTTATAGCAATTCAAATTTTACGAATTTTATAAAATTTCATGTTCTTATGTAACATTAATCTGTCATTTTGACAATGTTGGCATAAGGTGCCGAGGACGAACATTTGAGTATATACGGAACATTTATTAATTTTTTCTGCGAAGTGAGTCTCATGAACGACAATTCACCACAATTTTGGTAAAATTAATGTTGAAATGAAGAATATATTTCAATCTAATAATAGTGCAAAATATCATTAGGCCTTTGTAATCACCGCACGACGCGCGACTAACATGGCAACTAACACGCGCGTGGGTAAATCTTCACGTACGCTGACGGTTTATGATCTGGTTGCTATGGTTTTTGTGACGTTCAGCGTGTAGGGACGCACGTGCGCCTAGAATGTCGATGCCAGAGTTATAACAAAGATACTAGAAATACAAGATAGAGTTCTCCACACAAAAAAAGTGTTCCACCGTGTTCAACCGAAATGCATGGTGGGAATATGAAAAATGGGACGCCCCCTACAGCTGGATCTAAAAAAACTTGTGCCAAACTTTCGTTACCAAGTCGTCGCGTATTTTATTATCAATTCTCAACAAAGATACT